TTACGCGGGTACCGTACATTAAGACTTGACATTTAATATGGAATATTTTTTCCAAGTCATTTTTCATTAGTTTTTTTCCTATTTTGCTGACTGATAAATGAAAATGAGGATTAAAATCGTGTTTTAATAATTTTGTATTATCTCTTTAATGTCATGGTGACATCAGCTCATTGGTTGAATTCGACATTGAAGCAAACAGAAATGCATTGCCTATTCTATGGCATACGGCATCCATTAAAAGAGATAATTAGGATCTCCATATTTTATAAATTATCGTCTGTAAAAGAGTTACACGCTCCACAAAGGACCCTCATATCAATGTCTAGTCATAGTAACGGTCGCTGTTACGCCTGTCCCTTCTGTCTGTTACCAGCGCTCTCAAGCGGCAAGGCATTCCTTGGGATAGATTTTTGGAGTTCAATCTGGAATATTATTCCAGGCATAGGTCCAAAATTGTCCGATTTGGTCCAATTTTGATGTAGGGCATGTAGGCAGTTGATTCGTCGAGTAATGGCTTACCAACATATTGTCTATGCGGTTCAAATGTGGCGATTTTAATGACCAGGGTAGCTGCTAATTCCCTTGGTTCTGTAAATTATCTGCTATAAAAAGTGCTCTGTGTAAACCGGCAATCTCACCGTGCAACCTAAAATTGTTCCTAAGGTGCCCCCTATCAAATGATAGTCAAGTGGTTCCAAAGATTATTCCTTTATTTGATCTGGTTCAGGTTTTCGTCAATGACTACCATTGGTGTTTTGGCACCAATGTGGTATCCACTTCAAATACTGACGCTGTCAATGACCCGTGTCACTTCCGACGCGGCACATGCTTCGTTGCAGGCCTCTTCTGGATGTCTGTCAACTCTGTTTTGACTAGTTGGGCGGTACAGGTGAAATCTGACCTCAATAAAGAAAGCCACGTGGTTTCAGTCAGTAACGGTCATAGCCCCCAATTCATTAGAGAAACAGACGACGATGTTTTGCTGTTTACAGTGGGTCGTCTGGTATTATAACCTGCTAAAACCAGTTTGGTGTTCGTTAAGGGCCTTGAAAAACGCATTTGGTGGCAATTTACCCCTCGTTCTGAACGGACTGGGTGGCTTTTGTGAGCTGCAGCAGCATATCCCGAAAGACAGTGCGTTCTTTACCCTGGAGGTATGATTTCGATGCATTGGGTGAGACATCTGTGTAGGTACATCAGTCTGGGCATTACTCTATAAAACTGTGCGGACCGTTCCGTTTGGCGCTATAATCTGTCTGGTAATGTCGTGTAATCTTTTTCGCGCCAATCTGCCACAAATTAACAAATTTGTAAAGCACTACTTAGCTCATTTTATGCACTGCAAAACTGACCGCTTGCATGCAAAATTTCAAATTCTTCTATGCAGTAGTTGCCGACATACGGATACTTTTTTGAGAGAAACAATCTTTGCCTAAGCCAAGCCCTGACCAGCCCAAAGGAACACTACCCAATTAAATCACCGCATATTGCATAATGTAGCAGCGCAACAGACATGGAAGTCAGTTAATTGGTAGCGACACACCTGACTACACACTTCTCCATTCATAAAATCTTATATGAGATCGGAATTTTTTGAAAAAAGAACGGATTTTTACCTAGTACCTTCGAAACTGAAATATTCCATATTAAATGTCAAGTCTGTATACCGGAACATGTCAACTACTGGTACAAGCATGTTGATCGTGCCTTTCAAATTGATATTTCCTCTCGTGTATGCCCTCATGATTAATGCGTTAATAACAGAGCAACTCAATTTGGTGTCAAGGTTGTTATCAATATCATTATTATTATGTTGTAACTGCACACACTGTTTTTATTTCAGATTCACCACCTGAAACATCATGCAGCTTATACAAAAAAGATGAATGCCGCTTTAAAACAATGGAGAGATGAGGTACTGTTTAAACGATTTCGTAGAAACATTTCACTAGACAGAGGCGTAGTTTTGTGTGAGTTGGTGACTGCAAGAATCCTCCGACAGTAGCGCCCCTAAAATTGGCATCCGTATATTTAGAGAGAAGATTCAGTTTACACTCTATTGTCCACAGATAAATATATATATATATATATATATATATATATATATATATATATATATATATATATATATATATAAGTCCAAATGAAGAGATTTAGATCTTAAGATCTCTTAAGATACCACATGATTTCTTTAAACAAAATACCAAGCTAGAGATTCGGGTGGACTATATCAACGTACGTGCTCGTACTAGCGCATAGTGCTTTTTAATGCACTGGATGAAAGAGACCTTCCCAATTTCAATATTAACACCGTAGTCTGAATCTTTTATCACAAAAATTACATTTTTACTGTCCATTCTTATAGTTTGCATCTTTATACAGCAACGACATCTGATTTTGATCTTAAGTGTGCAAAATATATGGAAATGCATTTTGGAATGCACTATTTCTGGGGTACCATGGGCTTCGATCGCATCTCCGCTCCTCTTCGTCACTGCGACGATTTTGTGGCCTAGCGATTGCCATTCATGATTTAAACAAATGAATTTTCTGGGGTACCTATACACATTTCTCTCAACCTACTGGGATCCATCATTAACACCAGTTTGTTAGTGTTGTTAGTGATTAAGTGACGGAAAATTACAAGGAATCACTCACCTTGGTCACAGTCGGCCATCACCTTGATTAGTTGACAAACAAAACAAAACGACTTTAGAATACCATACAAGTGTACCACTTAGAAAAAAAGACTTTAGAATTCCATACAAGTCTACCACTTAGAAAAAAAGACTTAAGAATACCATACAAGTCTATCACTTAGCAAAAAATCGCTATACAGAAGACTTTGACCTCATTCCCATAGATTTTAGATCGATCTATCCCTGTGGGGAGTCTCACTAGATTACTGTCAGCTTAGCGTCTGTCCCGCCTACTAAAAGCTGTAAGAGGGTAATTAACTATGGTGCGCGCTCGGCTGACTGCAATTTAGCGTGAACCCCCAGGGAATTAAATTTAAATTTAAATCTAAATCTCTGGATCGATCTAAATCTCTGGGAATGCACCCTATAAAAAAATGGACGCTTCTAAAGCAAAAACTCAGAACACGCGCGATAAAAATTCAAATTAAAGAGAGAAACCCGTCAGATCACCCTGAAACCAAGTACATCTACCTTAAATAGCCCAGCTATATTGTCCCAGTTTCGGCTTCGCTCGACTACGGAGAGTTCGACAAACAAAAAGAGGATGTTTTCATGGAGCTGGGATTTACAAACAAACAAGGAGACGATAAAGTCTGAGCTATTTAAGTTGCATGTTTGTTGTTTGAAGGTGATGTCATGTTTGTATCTTACTTGAATTTTCATTACGCGTGATCCGAGTTGTTTCTAAAGTTCCCTTTATTTACAGTATTCTGCGGCTTATATGTGGCGAGTTTATTTAATTGATTAAAAATACTCAACTGATTTTGTTTTTTTTTATTTAGCTTCATGGTAGACCAGCATGGTATCCTAAAGTCGTTTTCAGAGTTTTTTTGATTTATTAAACCATCAAGGTGACGGTCGAGTGTGGCCGTGGTTCTCGTGAACAGGGAAATGTGCAAAAAAAAAAAATTAGAAAGGAATAATTTCTAAATTTAATAGAGGCAAGTGCACTATGGGGAAACGCAGCCTAGCATGGCTGAATATCTCATCTTGATATTTATTTATTGCAGGACCCCGAAAACACGCTCGCCACGGGCTCCATTGTGGAAATTCTCCAACATTTGTACAATGTTCCTGAAAAATATAGGACAGTTTTGAGAAACAATGGGGGCGGGTAAGAAGTACATTTTCTACTGTTTTCCAGCGCGGTATAACTTTATTCTATTCAAATTAATTATCGTTGCAATACGGCAGTGCATTAAATGGCTAGTTATTTTACCTTCAGTCTTAACGTGGTTAACTTGTAGATATCACATATAACACTGGTCAAATTCGTGTCAAATCGGTGCGATTTTTGATTTACAAGTACGTTGAAGTTTATGCGTTGGTTTAGAGTATAGTAAGACAAAGCATATTTTGGAACAAACAGAATTTACTATTTAAATGTTAAGATGCATATAATTCTTCAAATTGGGGAGGCGTTTGGTATTTTGAAACATCCGTTTGATATTTGAACATCTAACCATGGTTGCATAGAGACACAAACAGTTGCAGAAAGGTAATGCACCTGACCCGTGAGATATAATAATAATAATAATAATTTATTTACTAAAATCGCAACCTAAAGTTTGAAGTTTTACAATGTGTCTTAAATAATAAAATCATAAGGTATTTTAAAATTAATTAAAAATTAATAAACTAAAGGACCAAAGACTTATAAGACAGTTTGAAGCAGTAATTTACATAAAATTTAGATACGTTTATACTAACTAACAAATGGTTATTATTTCCCACCAGGTATGTCAACCATGCTATATACTTCGCTTGTATGTCCTCCCGAGGTGCAGCTATAAGTCAAGATTTGGAAAATGATATAATAAAGGATTTTGGATCATACAATAATTTTACAAAGCAGTTTACAACAAAGGCCATGGGATTGTTTGGCTCAGGTGAGATTAAGGGCGCATTCCCATAGATTTTAGATCGATATATCCCCGTGGGGAGTCTCACTAGATTACTGTCAAAGAATCCGGCTTAAATGCCCGCCCCGCCTACTACAAGCTGTAAGGGGGTAATTAACTTTCGTGCCCGCTCGGCTGACAGCTATTTAGCTTGAACCCCCATGGAGTTAGGTCGATCTAGTTGGATCGATCTGATCTCTGGGAATGGGGTCTAACACGTATCCCAGTCTACTGGCACATACATGTATTTACTTAACGATGATTAGGCCTATTGGCATACTTGTATCTATTAAAAACAAAACGGTGCATTAATCGCTTTTGTATATAAAAAGTCCGGTTAGCACAGCACTATTTTTCTCTAAAACCATCCCTGTATCTGTGTGTAACATTTCTGTCCAAGGATACGTGTGGCTATCAAGAGGAGGGAATGACAAGCTAGTCATTTCCACAACGGCAAATCAGGACTCGCCTGTGACTGAGAGTTTCCGCCCAATTCTGGTGATTGACATCTGGGAGCATGCGTACTACCTGAAGTACCAATATAGACGGGCAGACTTCGTGGCAGCTTGGTGGAAATTGGTTGACTGGAAAGCTGTTGTGGATCTGGACAAGTGGTGGAGGGTTAACTACAGGTACGGGTAGACTCGTACCGATTAATGGACTGTTTGCACTGATAACATAAATGGACTGATTGACTAAGGACTTTAAAATTTCTGCCCTTCCTGAGACATAGGCTGCGGAGAGTGCGAGGGGTGGCGGGGGAGTGGCTGAAATAAAACTTTCTTTTGTTCTTAATGCTAGTATGAGTGGTGATCTTTCTTTCCCTCTGTCCACCAGACTTTTTCCCTGTCGCCTACATTTCCTTCGGTCCTACTAGAGGAGTGCTATGTACTTTTTTGATTTGTTTTGTTAAATATTGTATTCTGCTCGGAGATGGTAAAAATAAAAATCTATCTATCTATCTACAGGCGTAAGATTATGATAAACCTTCAACAGCTGCCCGACCCCGAGTATTCTAATCAGCCTACGACACTGACTTCCTTTCAAACTGGTAATCAGTGTCAATAAAAGAGTGTCTGCCACCCTTTCTGATGTTTTGATATCGATGAATGTTACAACCTTTGATGGAAACCAGAAGTAAATTAGATGTAAGAAATATGAAAGGTCTTCCCAAGAGTCACCCCTCTCCCCCCCCCCCCAAGCTCCTGCGCTATATAAGCCAAATATCTCAATTCAGTTATTTTAAGTTAAAAACAACAACAGATTCTGATCTTTGATTTCACATACGTTGTTTCCGATATTGTACTTTGGACGTAAAGCTACAGATATGTCAATATTGTGGTTTTTGTTCCTCTACTAGTAAATATACCAACGATCTTTTTGAGATGTAATGATACCGGTTTAGGCATGCACGAACGCGTAAAACATACATGTATTTCATAGAACCTCTCAATGAAGGAATAATCAAAAGTAAATACACAATGAAAAATTAGAATATGATTTGAAAGAAGCAATTAAACATGTTCAAATGATTACTCCTGGGCCCTGTTTCCAAAATGTCCAAAGTCAGATTTCGGGGTAACATCTTAGCCTACTAACATTTGGTTGACTACACTGCGTTTCACAAAAGAATCTTAAATGCCGCTTAGCTATTTTATTACAGCATATAACCCCTGAAATTAACGCCCACAAACCACATATATTAGCTTGCTAAGCAGCAGTCTAAAGTAGCCGCCCACTGAAACCAAACAGCTGAGAGTATTTTTAACCACTTTTCAATTTCAATTCAATTTATTAAACCTTTGAGCCCTACGGCTCATCAGAATATAAAACAGCGACAATATAAAGTTATATCTAATCAACTACCATTACTACAACTACTACTGATACAAACAACAACAACAACAACAACAATAATAATAATAATAATAATAATAATAATAATAATAATAATAATAATAATAATAATTCATCAGATTGACATATAACATATTCAGCATCAGTCTATAAGTGATGATCAAAACAATCTAATTTTTTACTGGAAATTTAATTTCGACATTGTAGTGCACTAGTTGACCGCTATTAGCGGGCGGATCCAGATATATTTTCTGACAGTCTTCCAAATTATCTTTGTTGATCCATCCTCCATTTTTTACCGTCTTCCGACAGAAAAAAATAGATACCCGTCAATGTAAACTTGAAAAATCTGACCGTCTTTCGGAAGACCCAGAAGACGGCCTAAATCCGCCCCTGTTTAAAATCTCTAAAAATCAGCATTCGACAACTTTTTTGATAGAGATTTGGAATGAGTACTTAATTCTCACTCAGTCTGCCTACCATCATGCCTGCTGCAGAAAGAAAAACTTACACTTAGCAGGTTTGTCATTAAAACACTCTCGAATTTAGCAGTCTATAAGCTTAGTCCGTAGACTTAAACTTTTTTAAACATTAAACAGAGTCCAGATCTGCATTTGAACAAAGACTTTCACTAGGGCATGCAAGTACTTCATCAGTTGAACTAATAAGTACATGTATGTTTGATTTTTACAATTCAGTATTCAAAATTGAGCCAATTTAATGTCTTAAGATATTTTAAAATTGGTGATCAGAGTAACTGTTACCATTTTTAAGTAAATTTTTTTTATTTTAAAAAAGATTGCTACTGCGGGTGCCATATTTCGTTAGGTAATTTGCATAATTTGAGAAAGGCTATTGCCGGTAATAAACAATTTTGATTAATGAAAATAACAATTTGAAAACAAATGAAATTTTAATTGGAACAAATAAAAAAGAATAGGACGCTCTCTGATGAAATGGGCTGTCCCCTGGTTATTAGGCTACTTGGTGAAGTTTTAAACAAACAAACAAACAAACAAACAAACAAGCAAACAAACAAACAAGCAAACACACAAGCTGCCAAAAACTCTCTCTCTCATAAAAAAAAGGAAAAAGAATAAAGATGTATATNATATTGCATAACGTAAGGTTCCATTCCCAGACGTCTTGGAGCAATGTTATCCAACTCGTACCTAGTTTTTAATGCGTTTGCACAATATCTTGTAACACTTTGTAACGGACGTGTTTCGGTTAAATACATTCATTATAATAATTGTTTTCAGTCTGTACATCTGTCTTTAAGATTTTGTGCAAATTTTAGATAAAAAGGGTAAATGATACATGCGCTTACACTGCAGTATCTAATAACACTTTGTAACGGACGTGTTCCGGCTGAAGACATTCATTATAAAATTGTTTTCAGTCTGCACACCTGTCTTTTAGATTTTGCGTAAATTTTAGTTGGTAAAGATAGATTATTTGTTGCTCGTAAGATTATAAGTTTAAACACTTCAACTCCATGGTGTCAATTAGTAAAAATAAACATTGTTAAGTGAAAAAAAATTATTATGCAAATAAGAAATAATAGGATAACGTGTTAAATTAAAGTGAAAGTGGATTGATTTAATTGATCTTACGTGTAGTCATTAGTAGCTAAAATGTCAATATCAGAATTTACTATATGTGATCTTGGACAAATAAATGATTTAAACTTTTTTATGGGCGCTTGGAGAGTCAGGGAAATATAGTAATGAATGAAATATAGTAATGAATGAAATAGGCATTATTCCATTTGTTCTCTTTTGAATATAAGACCGCCTTCAACACATGATAACTGATTGTTTTATTACATTTCAGCATTGTGTTGTTAAGGTGTGTAGAGTGAGTATTGTATGTTTGTTTGCTAGTCTGTGATGTCAATAAAAAAAGAAAAGAAAAAAATAATGATAACATTAATAATAATATTCACGTTATAAACGCTTGTTTTCCACACAATCTTTGACAAAAACGTACTACCGCTTAATCGATATTAATTATGACGGATGCAGCGTTATCGAAAGACAGCCTTTTTTTTTTTTTTTTTTTTTGAAAAGCCACTTCAAAGATGCATCAAATTCTATACACATTGGGATTTATTCACACCGTATCGGTGACGCGAAAGGTTTAAGAAGCAGGGTGATGAAATAAATTCATCGGTCACTCATACAGTGTACATGTACCGGTGGATTCCTTAAGTCCGCTGCCGAATGTGTCAAATCGAGTCGTCACGAGGAAAGGGGTGGGGGGTACGATCACCACAAATTGCCATTTTGATCAACTGGAGCGCATGTTTTGTACAGAAGATTTATCAACGAGTTCAATCGAATGTAAGAGTGGTGAGGTAACAAGTATAAACCAGCTGAAACGCTGGTCAGTTGTGAAAAATGTTCACATTGCTCGAAAAAACTTTTAGTATTTGGGTATACAGCTGAAATTTAAAAACAAGGTCAATGCACTGATACATCTTTATTTCTAGTTATGAAAGCAGCGTGTGGCAGAGGGGGGGGGGTGAATAACAGGAGACAAAAAGTATGTTGGCACGTGCGCGCACGTGTGACAGATGTGCTAGGGACCACAGAGTTGGAAAATAATTTATAAACAACATTATTAAATCCTCATGTTATTGATTCAGTTATTATAAGTGGAAGTTTAAGTTTAAGTTTTGTCTCAATGCATAAATGATAATATTGCAATTTAGCATGTGTAAGTAGCTTTAGATTACATTTCATACCTTAGAGGTTCAAATTTTACTGTCGTTGTTTCAAGCCTAGTGGTTCATTGGATCTAGATTATATGGAGCTCTTGTGTGTGTCCACCTTGCCAGCGGACTTGGGTTTGAGGTAACCAATCGGTTTATGATTGATATGATTGACATTTTTATTTGATAATGCTGCATAAAATTTTAGGAATACTGAAGAGAAAAAAGGGAGAGAGTCTTGATTGAAGCTTAGATTTGACCATGCTCGTGCCATGCAACTTAAAGTTTAGTAAAATATAATGTGTTGGTGTTACAACATGAAGTCTTTTCATTCTTTTCCGTGTTCAGAGATAGAATATGGGAATCTCAGTAGCAGCATTAAGGATCGCGTTACCCAAAGATCAAAGCCCGTAGTGTCCAGCCTCTAGGGTTAAAAGTTTATTTATTAATTTGTTGTCGAAGGTCCAGGGTTAGATAGGGTTGGAAGGATATCTTCACAATGTAGTGACGAAGACCGAAGAGAAGTCAAGGTTATTGAAAACATGACGAGACTAACAGATCATGCAGTTCTTGCGTGAGTCCCAGTTTACCACCGATAAACACGTTGGGCGCTAGACATAGCTGACCAACAAAACATCAAACTCAAATGAATGAAAATAACCAACCAAGTGAGAAAAAATTTGGCGGTGGGAACTTACGGGTATAAATACCCAGGGTAGCCTAATTTTCTCTCATCACTCAAGAAAGGCGACCAGATAAGGCGTAAGAAGAAATAGTGAGTTATTTGCTTTTTTCTTTTAGCGGAATATATAACTACTGTAACAGTAAATGATGCAAAGGTGTTTTAGCTTATTTTCATTTTTACCCTTTCAGCTGCAGATTTTAATTTTTTTTCTTAAAACTTCAATTTTCCTTTATTTATTTTTTAGCAAAATATACAATGATAATAATAATAATTATTATATCTAAACACTGCTAGTGTTTTTTGATCATGTGCATTTGATAGCTTTGAAAGCGTTTAGTGATATTTCATTGTTGAAGATATTTTTGTGTTATTCGACATTATTGCCTCTCTTTTTTGTCTCTATATAATGACATTGGCGCTAGCAAATATAATTGCAATGTCCATAGTTTGTTAGCCGATCTTTCACTGATTTTATTTTCATAACGATACCAATATGTGACTAATTTGGGGAAATTCTTCAATTAAAAGATCACCCCTTTCTACTTTTTTAATGACGATATCGCATTTTCATCCGTTCAATTAAATAGGCTGGACGATACTGTTCTGAAATTGTTTTCTTATTTACTCGGCAATCTATACTCGGTTTCACACTGTGTGATAGACAAATGTATGACGATATATTTCAAGGTGGTCATTCCATAAAACCAATAGGCCGTGACATTGACAGAGAGCACTTTAAAAATCTATGAATCAACCAACAATATTACTTTCAATAAGATAATTTTGAAGATTAGAAGCAAACAATCATTTCATAACCATAAGTGAAACAGTCTATTTTCTGAACTATTGCTTCAAAATTGCTATATTGGGAGTCTTTGGGCGTTCATATTTCTCTTTAAATTTTTCTGAGAATAACGAGATTTGCCCTGTCTATTAAAAGGTATATTTCTATTAGTCATATGAAGTCACACTTGTATTATTCCAATAAAGGCCGTGATGTTGGACTTCAAATATCGCAAATAACAATTTTGGACCATCAAGCAACACTTTTTTCTTTAACAAAAGCTTAAAATTGGTTTGTGTCACACAATTAATCCTCGAAGTACAGGCTAAATAATTAAATATATTAAATATTTAAAATAACGTAATTTGTCATCAAGACATATATTCATATTTTTCATTTAAAGTTACACTTGGGAAAGTAATACATATCGCAATGCCGCATTTCAGCAATTTTGACTTATACCTGTACAGTGGATAACTAACAATGGAACTTCGAACAACCTGAATACATATACCAAGCCATTATAAAATATACAAAATATTATTTTTGAAGAAAACATCACACACAATTAAGTCACAACAAAGTTAGCTTGTTTGGTGTTGTGAGTTTCGTGTGTGGTGTTGTAAGTTTTGTGAGTGGTATTATACGTTTTGTGTGGTGTTGTGAGCTCGTTTGGTGTTGTGAGTTTTGTGTGGGGTGTTGTGAATTTTGTGTGGTGTTGTGAGTTTCGTTTGTGTTGTGAGTATTGTACCGGGTATGTGCTGGTGTTGTGAGTTTCGTGTCTGTTGTTGTGACGTTCGTGTGGTGTTGTGACCCTTACACGCTTCCGTACCTTTCAGTCTCAATGCAGTTGTCATACGCCTTCTGTGCGGTTTCTTTGAAAACCGATCTGTTGTCGGTACAGCCCCCTACAATTTTAAGCACCCACGTGGTCAGAGTAAAAACAATGAAGGAGCAAGTGCCCTTTGCGTGTTGAGTACGGCGCACGCCCTCACAGCTAACGAACGAAGCCGAAAGCACACCGGGAATGCGTCGCACGTGCGTCACCCCATCGCCTGGAGTATATAAAAGGCGTGCTCACGACACACGCTCGTGTCTCGACAATGAACGTCGATTGTGCAACGTGTACAACATTTCTGTCGAGAATTAGGGGACCGTGACTGCCCATTTACGTTTCAGAATGATAATGCTATACTCCACGTACAGCTAATGCAACAGTAGTCTGGCTATATGCAAGCCAGATCCACACTCCCCAATGCACAGCTAAATCTCGAGATGAGGAGCTCATTGAGGATTTGTGGGATATCCTTGGAAATGGATAACTGAAGGATAACCCTGCAAACAAAAATGATCTCATACAAAGTAGTATCTTTGTACCGTTTGTGGAACGCCATCTCTCTGCAGACGTTTTGCAAAGAACTTTTTTGACTCCACACACCAACGCGTCAGTTGCGTCTTCTAATCCAGATGATATTGTACAAAATATTACAACATGGCTTTGATTTTTCTACTCTGGTTAACTTATTCATTGGTTGCACAATTAGTAATACAGTTTTGTGAAAAAAAAATCCCTTCATAAGTTGGTGATGATATGATTATTTGTATCACTTTATGAATTGCATAAGGTGTGATACTTTTTGCTTGGAGAGTAAAGATTACTAAACTGGCTAAATTGTGACACAAACTCCCCCTTCTCTTATTCAGTTATTTTTCATCAAAACAGCAATTGCACACACGATTTTTAGTAAAAGATATCTTGTTTTTGAAACAAGAAAAAACTTCAAGTCTTTCCCTTTCCTTTTCCAAAGGAAAAACACATGTCCATGGACTCTGGATCTAAAAATATGAAAGACGAACCATGCTCTGAAATGGGCCGCTCAGACTCGCTGGTAGACTCCGTAGAAGAGAAGAAGCGTCGTACCTGGGGAGGCCAGTTGGAATTCATTATTTCCTGTGCTGCTGTTGGTCTAGGAGCAGTGTGGCGCTTTCCGTATTTGTGTTACAGGAACGGTGGAGGTAAGTGCCGTCGCGGCCAAAATCTCAACTACCACAGTTTTAACAGCAATGGTACATCAGTAGCCAGGAATATTATACCTTAAAAGTTACTCTTTCTCTTGGATTTTCTGAAACGGTCTATGATTCAAGTGATTACGTATTTCGACTAACGGCTGCTTGTGGTACACTGTTGCTCAGTTAAAATCCTTGTATTTCCAGGCGCGTTTTTGATACCATACTGCGTCAGCTGGGCCCTAATTATCCTTCCATTATACTTCATGGAGCTATGTTTCGGTCAGTTTGCCAGCCTTGGACCTATCGCTGTTTGGAAAATTAATCCACTGTTCAAAGGTAAGACTGAATTTTCGCATTCTTGTATGTTAGATGTCTTGTTTCCTTTTGACAGATATCTTATTTTAGAAGATTACTTCGAACAAATAATTTTTCATCTCTAACCCTCTAGGTATTGGTTATGGCATGGTGGTGACTTGCTGGTTTCTTACTCTGTACTACAGCGTTCTCATCGGCTACTGTATTCACTACTTCTTCGCCTCAATGACGGCCATTTTGCCTTGGTCTACTTGTGGGAATGCTTGGAATACTGAAGATTGTTTAGTTGGTAAGCATATCGTTCGCTGGTATAATAATGCTAATGATGATGATGATGATATACAATGATAATACAATGTAGTAAATAATAAGAAAAAGCAAAAACAACGTTTCTCTCATTTTTGCAAGCATTGAAAAACCGCCTGAGAGATTTATTGTGGTTACCGAGTCTCCTTAATTTGCTGCAGTTACAATAAAAGTTAAAAAATTAATGCAATTTTGCTTTTTCAATTATACAGGAGTCGCACATGTATAAATGTAACGTTTGTCATTTGTTTCTGAGTTGGCGGAGGTACACCAACGGACGCCACCAACTTAACCATTAGAACAACGCTTCTGAATACTACTGATAATACCGAGATTACCGTCACTTCACCAAGCGAAGAATATTTTTAGTAAGATAATCAAACTCTGAATACAGTGCTGCTTTTGGTCCCCTAACCTCATTTAAGAGCAGTTTGAAACCATGAAAACAGCATCAACTTTACACTTACGTTTTTAGATAAGAATAGTAAATACATAAATGTTGATGGCTGGAATATAACAGTTTATCCTATATTGGCTGTTTTATATTTGTAGCCGCAAAGTCCTGGAGATGACTGATGGGATAGAGAATTCAGGGGGTCTCAAGTGGGACCTTGTCCTGTGTCATCTGCTGGCCTGGGTGATTGTGTCGTTGGTCCTGATCAAGGGAGTCAAGTCCATGGGGAAGGTGAGCTAAAGAGGCATGTGCATATAAGCTAGTAGATATGTGCTAACAGCGATGACTGCAAAGTAGGCCTACATTTATATATCCCTCCAAAGTTTTACCAGCTGGCTTGGCTTACTTTTCGGTGTACATTTATATAATCTGGATATTTCCCAACTGTCTGACATGAACCTCTCACATATTCAATTTGTGGAAAGGAGATAATAATTTGTATATTGATTCTTAATAATTGCAATTTTCTTCTTTTTTTCAACCAGTAAAAACCGTATGGTTTCAGACACAAGCTCATTTCGTTAGTGTTGTTTTTATAATTTTTCAATCAAATTAGCATTCGTTTACATTCCATGTCTTTATAATTTACAGGCCATATATTTCACCGCCATTTTCCCACACATTATCATGGCCGTCCTCCTTGTACGTGGTGCTTTGTTGGAGGGATCTGCTGAAGGCATTAAGTATTATCTGACGCCTGACTTTAAGCGACTTCTTCACTCTGAGGTAATATCTGTTCAGTATATTCAATTTTAAAAGACAATATCAGGCCCGTAGCCAGGGGGAGGTCGAGGGGTTCGAAAGAACCCCCTTTATTGCTGAAAAAAGGTCCACTCTGGGTAAAATTTGACATAAGTACATGGGGATTTTTCGGTAAAAGGTCCACTTTTTCAGAAAAAGAACCCCCCTTTGAAATTGCTGGCTACGGGCCTGAATATGAACAGCTTTCGATAGTAATGCGCTTAAATATGTGTATAGCTTAGTTTAAGACATTGCTTGATTGGTATTTTAATGCCTGTTCAACAAAATTGCTGTTGGAACATTTTTCACTTATACATGTAGTGGTATAAAAGTTACATCTCTAAAGACGCATTATTGTGTTATGCCCGAGGAATATTGTGAGATTGCATAAAGCTTTGTGCATTGAAACTCCTGTTTTACGATCTCTGATATTTCAAGTAGTAGACAATCGTGACACTTCCTTGATTAAACATTTCTACCATTTTACCTGTCAGGTTTGGGGTGACGCAGTTACTCACAATTTCTATTCGCTGAGCATATCTTTGGGAGGCCTAGTAATGATGTCAAGCCACAACAAGTTCCACCACAACTGCTTCAGGTACACTGGACTGTTAAACAGATACTGTTATTAATGCTGTATTATAATTTATAGTCTTCTCTAATAGACTTAGCAAGGTTTAATTGGTTTTCACCTCAGTTTAATGACACTTTTGCAATATACCCACCCTATCAGATACATATCAGATACCAATAGCTGTTTGATTTTCAATATAGTCCCTAAATTAATTTGTGTGTGGTCACTTTGAGCAATGCCTCCGCTATTCAAATAAATAAGATAGACAATACATTGCTGTATATCACAATACTTTTTACATGAAAATTTATGCCATACAAATATTGAGAGAACTGGCGCCATCGCTGGGGCGAAATTTTTCTGTAATCTCATTGGTCAAATGTCTTGAAATATGAATGAAAACTGGTTTATTTTAACAGCAGAGACATTGGTCAAAATCACCACATAAGCTTGAAAATTATTCAAGTTATAGTAGTAGTAGAAATAGCTGCAGTAGCAGTAGTAGCAGTAGGCCTACTGGGTAGTAGTAAAAGTTTGTTATGTCCTTTGGTTTACGTTTGTTATATGCACTTAATATGCTTCAAAATAAATTTGCTCGCTGCACATTTGTTGATTACATCGATGTCAAGCTTATTTGGAAAAGAGATATTCTTAAAACGCATAGTATGATTATTTGTAGAGACGCATTTGTTTGTTCACTTGTGAACTGCGGTACTAACGTCTATGCTGGGTTTGTCATCTTCTCTGTGCTTGGCTACATGGCGCACATATCTGGCAAAGAGGTGGCCGAAGTTGCCAGTCAGGGTATGTAAATATAAGGGATTGTAAGTCAGACCTTAAAACGAGACATTCGGCATAGGCTATATTACACCAACACCGTTGACATAAACGAAAAGAAAAAATTATGAAACTAGCATAATTGTTATTATAAAGACCAAAGTGTACCCTCGCTTTGTTTATATATGTATGAGAAATATGTATACATGGGCTGAATTTTGAATTTTCAGGCCCAGGTCTTGCCTTCATCGTGTATCCCGAAGCCATATCCCAGTTACCATTACCGACACTGTGGGCCATTCTGTTCTTCTTCATGATGGCGCTGCTGGGATTCAGCGTACAGTTCGCTATGGTCGAGACCGTTTTGGGGAGCATAATGGACGAATATGCTCACATTCTACGATCTCAGAAATGGAGGGAAATAATGGCGCGGGCGGTCGGGTGCGGAGTGTGTTTCTTGCTCGGCCTGCCAATGTGCGCAAGGGTGGGTGCTTTGCAAGGTCTCGTCCTCACTTCTGTCTCTTTTTGAATTATTTTCGCATTTGAGTCTTTTAAAAATTTAATATTGTTTATTAGTCTATTGGATGTAATGAAAATTGTAAAGTTATTTGTGTTGTTGATGGGAAATGTGGGCGAACTGTTCTAGTCATGAAGAGCCCCACGTGTTATATAGGGCTTTGTTTATCTACTATCGCCGTTGAAATATCTACATGTAGCTTTACATGGGAAATTCGAATAGCAAATCGCCACATTCACTTTCAATCACGTATGGTTTCAGGGTGGCCATTATCTGTTAGATCTAATGGATCATAGTGTTGGAGGGTTCCCGTTGCTGTTTATTAGCTTACTCGAATTGATTGTTTTGCAGTGGGTGTATGGTAAGAAAGGCGTATTTTTTAAATCATTTTACTCGATTATCTGTCCATAGTCTGTACCTTTTTTATTTGCCAAATTTTCAAACATGTATATTGATTATGCCAGAGCAAAAGGTAAATATAATTTACTTTTATCAGGCAACTGGCAATATAGATTTATAGAACGTTGTAGCGAGAGTTTTCACCATATTTGGCGATGTATCTTCTCTGTAAATTAGGTTTTTTTACTATGCAGGCTCGTTTACATATAGTTACTTCAAGGGGCCTTACCATATACATGTAGTTACGTATGTCTGTCACATTGTTTATAAATACATGTACAGGTAGTTATGTAATTTATCAAATATGTAATTATCATCTATATTAATTAAATTAATAATACGCTCTTTGGTATTCCTTTCACCCTTCAAGTCTCGCTGAACAGAGATTTGCCCGCGGAGCTCTTTACCATTGGGTGTGATATTAAGATAGCCCTTAAAACGCCTACTTTGACATCTTTCACACAAAGTCATTTCCACCGACACATAGGAAGTGGAGTTCAAACAATTAAACGAACATAAAAGTTGATGGCATATTTTAACATGCAATTGTTTTTCTTTTTTATCGTGACTTTTTTCACTCCAGGTTGGTCCCGCTTTTCTGAAGACGTGAAAATAATGCTTGGCAAGAAGCCTGGTATCTACTTTCGGATCATGTGGCGTTATATAACTCCACTTCTTTTGTTGGTATGTAACTATTGAAAGTATACCTTTAGTTTGTGGGGTAAATTGTGTTTTTATAATGTAAATTATTGCAACGATTTGAGTTTCAATGTTTCCTTCTTTCTTATTTTTTATTAGTATTTTTAAACTTAATTTTATTTATTTATTTATTTATTTGGTCGAAAAGCTTATCTTACTTCTCATTGCATTCTTTTTCAGGCTGTCATTGTATTTAAATTCGTTCAGCTGCAGACACACAATCATGAGGTGAATCCTCTGCCAGTCTGGGCTCAGGTCCTGGGGTGGATGATTCAGTTGATCCCCATCGCCCTCATCCCTGCCTTGTTCCTGGGCAGATACTGCTACGACGGCGGCTTCAAGGTTTGTGGAATTTATAGCTCAGCTCTTATGGTTCCACCGCTAAAACTAAAAAGAATTACATTTTGAATAAGTTGATACTCATTAATTCATTTATTGTCGTAGCGCGTGAGAAAGCACATAATCATATGTACTTTGCATGCATTACTTTGAATTTTAGGTAAAGTATCCGGTAGTATGTTTGCAAGTATTGTGTTTATGTCAGGTCAAATATTCAAATGTGTAAACTGTTCAAATTGTTTCCATATATAAATATGCCATATAGTTACATTATGTGTGCATATGCCTTTTAGGCCTTAAAGAAAGCTGGATCACCGCAAGCCGACTGGGGACCTGCAAGAGCGAAAAACCGCGCCGGGACAATCTACGACACGGATTCCAAGGCATAAACTCTCTAAGTCCAACACCGCCTTTGACCAATATGCATTCTAGTATATGTTAGCCAAATAACTGTTGAGTGTGTATATGTTTTATGTCGTTGTGGCTTCAGAGGGTCGGCGCATCGTTTTTAATGTTCGGTAATTCTCGGACAAACTCGCCGTTATATACAAGTATTAAATTAGAGTGGTTCAGATACCCCTGTGCGACTATGCTAAAAACTGTGTTCCACTTATAAAAGACAGGGTCAAAGTCTGCGTTAACGTGTCATTTTCATGCGAGAAAAATTCCGAATACAATAATGTCGTCCACATACTTGTTTTTCGCAACTGTAAATATTTTTTCGAGGGCATGTTTTAATTAGATATTCACACTATATTAGATATTCATTTTTTAATATTGAATACCTTTTGAATTAATCATTGCATTAATTATGAAACATATATCGATCAGTAACTAGCTGAGGAAAATACGCACAGTTATATATACATAATAGTTTTAAATCCATCGATCCCTGAATGGATTACAACGTGCACGTGGTTTTAAATGCATTATTTGGCCATTCCAAGGCTTTTTATGACATCATTGTAAATTATAGAAACTGACATTTATCGAATGTATTTTTCTACACTTAGGAATCACGGTTTGTAAACTGCAGTCACCAAACGTGAATCTTGTTAAATTGCACAAATGTCTTGTTAAATTGCCCAACGTACCAATATTATAAAATGAGCCGTTTATAGAATTGTTCTCATATGAACTTTTCAAAATATTCATTTTGTTCATGCTTTTTTTTTTTTTTTTTTTTTTTTTTTTATCAATCGATTTGTTGCAAATTATTCTGTAATAATGGATACTTAAGAAAAATATTGTTTTTTTTTTCGAATGTGGGTAATGTAATTGCACGGCCTTTGACGGATCACTTGTAGGCTCCATGTTAAGGGTGACACCTCCATAACAGTTGCTGTAGAAAGGATATCCTGCCAAGTAATTAGTTATTTGCTAATTAGTCAATGCATATGCATCCATCTCTTCTCCTTGTTTTATATCGAGGGAGCAGCAACGAGAGCCTCTACCGATGGGCACAAAGCCAAAGCAGGATACAGTCAGACAGTATTAAAATACTTAGATTATGCCCTACTCACAATAAAAATATTTTAATGGAAGGTTGGTATAGGCCTATGTGCACTTAGGGCATGACCAATTTTAAAATTAATTAGGCCTAACTATTAAAACTGCAGAAAGAAGCTGAGAAAATCTTTTAAAAGACGAACCGATACATACCAGTTGGCATACCGCCCGACGTGAAAAAAGCCCAAAAGTGACTTTATTTTACCGGCGGTGGGGGACTCGGATTATAATTCTCGAAGGTCAAACAACCTTTCAACAGGCTATATATGCCTTTGCGCTTACTTCATTTGGTATTTTACGTTAAACTATACAAGTAGACCTATATATATATAGGCCTATAAACCGATAAGAGGAGACGAGAATGAGAGAGAGAGAGATTTATGTCATTTTGTAATTATAAATGCAATAACTCCCAGCAACCAAACTCAGCAACCGATGCAGCAAACAAACACAATTACTTATGACACATCTACTGCAATGACAGGAGCGTTCCGGCTGTTTTACTAAAATAAAGTTATTTTTTATTATTAAAATTACAGTGATGAACCTATTACCAGGTTGTTGAGTCTACAAAGATCTTCAAACCTAATTGTATAGCGTTACAAATTAGCCAAATGACTGAAAGAATTTTCAACAAACCACACCTAGTATAATTATATCAATCATTTAGACCTTCAACTAACCTGCGAGACCTGCAGTCGAGGAAGTAAACTTCCGGTTACACATACATGTGCTGCAACAACAAGTCATGGAGATTGCCAAGGTTTTGTGCTTATTAACGATGGCTGTGTCATCACTTCGGTTTGTTGCTTCATGGCCGTATGATGACAGCGGTTTCTCAAAAGACACCTACCTGTTACCAGCACTGCCATATGGCTATGGTGCTCTAGAGCCTCACATGGACGAAGCAACGGTGAAGGCAAGTGAAATGAAATACTGCAGTGTACTACAACTCAGGGATAAGTTCAACTTATTTAGTACTATCGGCACACTAGCCAGCAAGTAGAAATAGGTATTATTACTACCAGTTTAATTTTTGGCGTAGGCCTACATGTGCCTCCCCCGTCGTTTGAGTAAAACTTAAAAATCAGCATACATGTACCAGATTTTATACGTACATGTACTAGTACATATAGCTATTACACGGTACTGGGTATATCGAAACTGAAAGTGAAACTTAACTGGAGATTTTCCACGTATATCTAGTTCATGTATATATGACTAATGCAGCTGTCATTCGATATCAAAACCTGTTTGTCATATCTTTTTATTTGATTAATTCATTAACATTTTATTTTTTATTTGTAATGAGTTTTATTGCTTGATTATTTCATTAATAGTTTATTTATCTACCCGGGCCCATATTTTTAATAAGTGGAAAAGCCACAAATCAATGATATGGCTTAATATTTTTGTTTTGTGTTGTCTTTTAACTAAATATTGATACAGGCATAAATATGATGTAAGTAACATATTTGTCATACATTTATAATCTACTACCCGGTAGTACCAACACTATAAATCCTTGCACTGAGTACACTGGTATATCCAGATTTATACAACCCTGTATAATTTTCATGATTTTATTTTGTTTATTTATTTCAAAGGCTAGCTTGCATACATTAAAAGATGAGCAAGGCAATTTTGGGGGCAGTGTAAAATGAACCTCATATGCTCACTTATATCATTATTGTTTTTACTGATGATGGATTTTTAATATGCAGTATATCTTTCTTTAGGTTCACCACCAGGGGCATCATGCAGCCTACACAGCCAAGATGAATGCTGCATTAAAACAATGGAGAAGTGAGGTATTGCATGTACAGTTTTTATGTTTACATACTAACAGTGGCATAGGGTTAATTACTTGTATTTGGATACAATAAGGTAGTACATTCAGTTCGTACTAGTACATATAAATTAACTTTCCACCATTAAAATATAACCAGTATTTGCAATTTCCTCCATTTTGTAAATCTAAAACTGAAGGACCAGTTTTTTTTTTATTTTTTTCAGTGAACTCTATGAATCTTTTATTCCACATATGCTCCAAGCATGGAGCACCAAGCAATTCTGTCATGTGATATTTCTGCACAAATTTTGGCTTTTGCTTCAGTCCACTCTTTGATGTTGCTTCTCCAAGTACATCTTGGGTGTCTGTGTCTCCATTTCTGCTGGTGCCAGCTTGGAGAATAGTTTTTTGAAAGCAATCATACCATTGTTTATGCCCAAAATAGCGAAACTTTTTTTTTTTTTTTTTTTGCAGGCTGCAGGAGACAAGTTTGCCAATAGTTCCATTTTAAACATTCTTCAAAAACTGTCTCATGTTCCTGAAAAATATCGGATGACTTTGAGAAACAATGGAGGCGGGTAAGGAATTGTTACTTATACTGGTATAATGAAGTTTGTCAAATTAAAAAAAGTAAATTTTGTATTTCAAAAATGGTAAGTGAAACTTATTATTTAATCAGTATGTTAACTATTTATTCTGGTACCAAATAGACATACTAATCTTTTCTTTAAAGTAATATAAACTTTTTTTTTCAAATGTCAGGGACTTGATGTTTGGTACTTTTAAAATAATTGTGTGAGTAGTGTACCAGCATTGTGGATAAATAAGAAACAAAAAGAGAGTTTGTTATCATAAATGTACAATGTGATAAAAGTATTTACTGACTTTCAAATTATTTTCTTCAGGTATTTCAACCATGCTATATACTGGGCCTGTATGTCTCCCAAGGGTGCAAGAATAAGTCCAGGTCTAGAAAAAGATATAAAAGATAATTTTGGGACATATGAAAATTTTAAAGAGCAGTTTACAGCAAAGAGCTTGTCTTTGTTTGGTTCAGGTAAGATCAATACAAACCACTATGACTTCTGGCACATTTGAATGGGTCTATTGTTTATGCTACGAAGAGTTAATACAAGTAAATATACAAAGAAGTTTTTGTTTCAGGTATATTTAAGTTTGTAAAATATTTCAGTTCATGAATCTGACTGAAATGTTTTCACATGAAATGTGTAGCTGTCAAAAGAACTCAATTCATCATCTCACTGAAACATTTTTCTAGGATATGTCTGGCTATCAAGAGATCAAGATGGTAAACTTATTATTTCCACAACAGCCAATCAGGACTCGCCTGTGACTGAAAGGCTCCACCCAATTCTGGTGATTGACATTTGGTAGCATGCATACTACTTAAAACACCAAAACAAACGGGCAAACTTTGTGGAAGCTTGGTGGAACTTGGTTGACTGGAGAGCTGTGGAAACACTTGACACGTGGTGGAAGGGACGGCAGACACGTGATGAGTTATAGGCCATTTTCACAGTATCGTGTGGATGAAAAACTGAAGGATTGCAGTCCCATTGATAAGCTTCCTGAAGTTGTGTTATTTTGCACTCATTTTGGATTTTTAAGTTCATGAGTTTTAATTGAGATGATATGTGATATCGCTTTATAAACTACATTGTATTATGAATTGTGGACCTTCAACATCTCCCATCTGAAGTGCTAGTGAATGTACCGTAATATGTCAATTGAGTGACAGTATATTGTACATGTATGGTAAAAAAAACCTCCAAGATAAATTGTATCTGGAATAATTTTTATTTATTTATTTATTTATTTATTTTCTTTTATTTTCTTTTATTTATTTATTTATTTATTTATTTTATATATATATATATATATATATTTTTTTTTTTTTTTTTTGTAAAGGATACAAATAAAAATCATGGTTTGAAATGTATTTTCAAATATCTTTCGATATTTTTCCATATCATTAAATGGGCTTTTACACTGTGGTCCTAAATCAATGTGATTTAGAGCGCAACAATCACAGCGTTTTATCACTGACACGTATTAGTACCCTGATTATAAGAACGTGCTTTGGTCAGTGAACCTACTACACATCTTGTAAATGTGAAAATGATAGATACATGGATTTTGTGGTCTCTTTTTACATACAGACTTTTTTTGTAACTTTAACTTTATTGTTAGCTCTATATTATAACTGCATGGATAAGGATATTGTTATTCGATACAAAGCACAGTTGAGAATTTCTCAGCATAATTAGTTTCCTGTATAGAATTTGACGTACCTGTGCGAGAGAACTGGCCAGTAGTTGGGAATGGCAGCAGGAAATATGCCGATATGAATAATTCTACGACACCTGGTATTCAAAAATGCCCGTGTATGAATAATTATAACACACCCGATACTTAGGCAAATATAATAATGGGGTTTTTAGCCCTGAACCTGAGACGTTTGTTGAAGTAAAAGGTGTAGAGAGATAACCGTTCCACTTTGCGTGATTTAATTACACTGTGCCATACAAACGGTTTAATGTTCATTTGTAAGATTGCCCTCAGTATGTCTAATTTGCCTTCGTCAGATTTACTTGACTGTCAGTTGATTAACGTATTTCGGACTCCGAAATTGACCCTTTTCGGAAAATGGCCCATTTGCATTTTGAGATTAGCATTTGAAGAACGCGGATAATATGATAATGGTTGCGTTTTTCAGCGACGCAAGTAAATCTGGAGATATGTGAATTCCAGATGATTCGAAACATATAAAGTGTGCCTCTTCGCGATTCTCTAAATCCAGGCTTTCTTAGGGCGAGAAAATCTTACATCAAGACGATATAAAACACAGCATTTCGTATTTTGTTAGCCTCTATAACGCATCTCATACTCCGTTATTATTGGCTAATCATTTAAGTTTTGTCATGTTATGTGAACACACGCATCTATAGTTCCAGGTCGGGTTTATACTTAGTACATAAAATCCAGTAAGTCATCCTCATTTAAACTTCCCAGGATTCTTTTGACATTTTGATATTTTGGTACATTTTTTAGTCTTTCAATGCCATTCCTGGTAAATTTAACATAAGTGTAACTGCATGTACCATTGTTGAAATAATTCTTACGCGGAGACAGGACAGAAAGTGCTGAAAACCTATCGTTTGTCCATCACATGCGTGCATTACTGTACTTTCTTGACTTACTGGTAGATGGATGATTCACAAGATGTCATCTAGCCACGCTGTGCAGTGTAATTACTGTTTAATTGTACGTGATTTTGTCCATATTACTGTTATGTTTAATTATTTGGTTAACGGCCACTTTCCTTGTAAATATGCTGTACGCACCTCTGTTCAAATCTCGTTAACAGCTGTTTTGTTAAATCTCAATGATTCACATTTATTACCGTGCAATTTTGCTATTACAGGAGTTGCAGTGTTCCGCCAAAATAGTTATACTTAGGCATTCAACATAAATTCGTGACAGTCTTCCTTTGGGAGCTACGTAAATTACACCTTATAATGCCACTGATTGAACTCCACAACTATTGTACCATTGGGTTATCGGGTGTTGTCAAAACGCGTCATTTTTATGTAAGTGCACCCTCACGACTTGAAGACGAACATTAAAACATTAAAACCCACGTCATCTGACATTTTAGCTTTGGGGACGTACTTTTCCAATACGTCCCCAAGCTAAATCGTGCGTGCGTGAGTTGCTTTGTGGTTACGCTCACAGCGCTATTACGCCCAGTTCAGTCAAGCATACCGCTTTTCTTTCTTTCTCATCCTTCATCTCTGTCAAGTTTAAAACTTCCAGCAGAATGATAAACTTAAATTAACCTTAAAGCTGATGCATATCCTTGCCAGCGTGTCAGAGATAGATATCAGAGAAATAATAAACCTTCAGTTATATACATAGACATACGCAGTCATCTTAACTACAAGCTTGCCTGCAAGCACTTTTAAGTGTTATGTTAAAACATACATTGTGTGCACTGAGATCATGCTACAGTCAAGTTGCCTGCTTATTTCGTACCTGGACATGTCTGTTTTCTCACGGAAACGCTTATAACTGTTGTTTACTATTAAATGAAAATAAATCATGATTATCAGAAATTGCTTTGCACCATGGACAAATATTTAAGAAATCAACAGCGACAAACCATTATGATTATGCCTAAATCGATATAATAGATTTCAGAGAAAGTTCTGTGCCATGACTTTCACATTATATTCTGAACGTCTGTGATGCAACTTCAAAAATTTAATGTATTATTTCTATAGTCTGCTGTGGTTATTATTCACCTGAATGTGACTAAAATTGAATTAAACTTCATACAGAGTGTACAAAGCAAGATATTGTCGAAATGTCTATATCTCTGTAAAAACATATTGCGAGGAGAGCATAAAAAGGGGTAGAATTTAACAATTATTTACCACAGTTCCTAAAAGGTGTCGCTACAAAACATAAAGTAGCGGCCATTCCCCATTCACACAGTCGAAACGCCATTTGATACCCCCACCACGTCCAGGGTTCTGGGGTCTGGGTGGTCATTATACTGAAGTCACTAAATATACCCATTATATTCAACGCTGTCACAGCGAGAAAGAAAAACGTGGCTACTAGCGTCACTTTGACGGCAAGGACGAGTCTTTGGGGGTGTTTTTCCACTTTGTGCTCCGCACTCGCTGGGGGTGCAGGTCGGCCCTCCTCCACCACGCCCGCGCTGCCTTTGTGGGTTTGGCTGCTCAGGCGGACTATTTCATTCCGGGGCCTCGTCGTTCTCTTGTAAAGTCTTTGGAACAAAGCAATGTACGCTATTGAAAAGATCAATCCCCACAGCACGAAAACTCCTTGACATATCACCATCAGAAGCCTTGCTTTAAAGAAAACTCCAACTACCATGTCTGATATAAATGATATAGAAAAATTAAACACCACGATGGAAACCAGCGCTGGGATGTCGTAGATGTTTTTGGAAATCGTCCTTATTTGGGTGGCCTTGAGCAGTGCAGAGAACAGAATGTAAAATGCTGATGTGAGGGCGGGCAACGACGTACTGATTAGAAAGTACGCCACTGGTTTAGGAAATATATCCTTATGATTGTGCGCATCTACAAATAACAGTACCATTCTTGTAACGCAGACCAGCAAGACGAGCAAGTTCAGTGCGATGAAATAACCCCGAGAAGGCAGCGAAGATAGGCGAAGAAGCTGGACGATATTTAACAGTGTTATTAACGCCAGTGCCGTGAACAAAGTCCCAAGGCCGTAGATATAAGCTGGCCAGGCTAGGCCCCATTCTGGTATAGCCGTATCCCACTTCGGTACGGGTTCGGCGAAAGGGATGAGATCGCCCGTGGTATTCATGAGCCAGCTTTTCGGCGAGGCTAGCCACTCAGGCTCAGGCTCTGGCTCGGGTTCAGGACCGGCGTAACCAGCCGCATAGTGGTCAGTAGTTACGACTGCCGTAGTGAATGGGTAAAATGCGTGCGAACTCGCTGTGTTCTCAAGTGAGCCCATCCGTACAATGGAGATAACAAATCAGTGCTTGAATTAATAAAGCTGATTCTTTCTCGAGATTACAGCAGGGGCTTTTACCTTGATTCCTCCGTGATCTGCACAAATACTGATCTTTACGGCAACTTTGGTATCAATTTCACTCCCATCGATCACCGATTGAGAATCGCATCGATGTAATGCTGATGCTGATAATTTTTCATCGATTTCTCCGGGCTTTTCAAACTCTATTACAATAAAAGTCAACCACAGCCACTGAGTGAAGCCTCAACTGCGACTAAATGCCAGCGTGACTTTTCTTGAAGCCAGTTTTGCATAAAGTAAGTTCCTGGTTAAGCGTCCAAGGATATCATCGTCACCATCAGCCAATGGAGTTCGCCCTAACTGCTCAATTGCACAAGACGCGAAGGATATTTAGGGGGAAATGCTTTCTCCTGTTCATAACAGGTGACAGAAGAATAATACCCAATTTGTCCGCTCTATATTCGAAGTCAGTCTCCGTTACTTAATGTAAATACGGAGTTGAAAGCAAGTCAGAGTGACATTACAATAGCACCTACATGCTAACCACGGTCAACCGTTGGTGTGAATTGTTTGGCTGGAAACGTGATAAAGGAAAGGGGGAGTGACCAGCACATTTAAATGATTTATATACCTCATACCAATTGACCAAAGGAGACCACCCTCACCACCTGGCTTTTCTGCTAAGTGTCACCGTGTCAAATAGCGTAACTGTTTCATATCAGAGAAAGGGGGTATTAGATAAAGGGCACAGGCAAGCCACATGTACAGTATATGCAACACATGCTTTACATGCTGTGTGCATTGTTTCGCTGTCCACCCACCTCTCACTTCACGGTTTATCCTTAGGTAAGGTGACATCATCGCACTTTAAGCCATAGTTCATTTTAGGGAGTAAATTGCTATTCGCGCCATTCAATCATCGGGAATTGTGAGACGGTGTCAGAGTCTTACGTAATTGCAGCCTTTTAATTGGATGGCAGAGGGAGTGCTGAAGAGACAGAGAGACAGCGTGATATACGAGTGTACGTGGATCACGAGACAATAAGAATGACGTGCATAAAACAAAATGCGTGCAGATTGACCTTTTATGCGTTTGTATATTTGTGTGCGTGGTCAATATGGTCGATAAAGTGGATTAGACCGAACATCATTAAAGTTGAAAGAAAGCGCCAAACACAAGCGCATGAAGCAATGTTGGCTTACTAATGAGAAACTCCAGGACAAACTCTCTTGCTTTGTTTTGTTTTTCGAAATCGATAAAAAGGGCGGGAGTAAATAATTGAATTTATAATTAGTTGCGCCGTATTAGTTTTATTACATAATAACTGTGCACAGCAGGGCATATAAAATTAAGTGACCGAAATTGTTCCCGTTGTTATTGACAAGAAGTTATTTTTGTTAATTTACCGTACGTGAACTTAATCATAGTATTTTCAATTAAATGGTATGGGAAATTTTAAACATTCTAGCCTCCTTCATTTTTCGTTTTCATTTAATACTTGCATGTCATGTATTATACACTTCTTGGAGTGACGAAAATAATTTGATAACACCGCACCCACACCCACTAGCCGTTATCCTGTTTGAGCTGCCATCTAGCGGATAAGAAAACTCTTATTGCAACTTCTTTTTGTCTTTTATATCCTGGAACAAAAAATACAACTGACCACATCAAGTCTACCAAACGTATTTTTGAAACACCGCTTTTGATCATTGATATGTTATGTCAATGACGTCAAATAAAGTCTAAAAGAATTAGTTATGATTTTATGGGCTCAAAATGAGTACTGCATGTTTTTCAATTATCCTACAAAATGTTACTTCAGAAGCTATTCTTATTATATAAACACAAACAACCACTTCATTTAATAAGAATTCTTGTATGTTCCTGGTGTGTATCATGAATACGATACAGGCATACTTAAAATCAATAAATTTTATTGATAGTATGTTGTTAATTTAAGTTACTTCCTTGTACCAAAGATTGTGAGATCAGCATTTCTGCAACAGGTCCCTTTGAAATAAAGGTGAAGAAAAAACCTATTACATGGAACTGTATCTTTGGACTTCGACACAAATCAAATTCCGTAGGCTTACAAATTTTTTTAAACAAACCCCAAGAGAGTTTTTCATATTCAGGCTACCACTTTCATTCTTTCTTTTTTGTTTGTAATTTTTCACGGGAAGATTTTTTTAGCTGTACGGCATGCAGGAAACTAAACCAGATAAGAGGCACACAAATTTTCTTCCCGTGTCATTAAATTAAGGCAGCCTTTCAATTTTATTTCTACATATATCTGCGACATATTACCAACAAATGCCACATGTTAACAAATGAAACAAATATTATATATTTATATAGGTGTAAACAGCTGGGAGGATTGCATAAAATACTGACCCCGATATGCAACTTTTTAATATACATGTACATCTGTTCAGTAACACCAAATTGCTTGAACATTCTAAAATGACCAGCGAACAGGAACGATTCACTTATGACGCTGCAGACACTACGCTGATGCGGGACTTCATTGACTCCTGCTTTTTCTTTCTAAAGGGCTGCGAGGCCACAAGAAGTATAGTAAATCCCATGGCTACCTCCAGAAGTCGTGTAGCAAAGTGATACCCCCACCATGGCCAAGGCAGAGGGGTCTTATTCGTATACAGTCCGAATTCACTGGCTATTCCCCACAAATTCATCAACGCAATGCAAAAGTACAATACTGCTCCCGCAAGCGCCACTTTCAGCGCCATCGTCTTTTTCGGCTGCGGTATGTGAGAGTCACGTTTTTTGCCCGGCTTGGCGAGGGGGGTTTGGCTCGTCAAGCTCATGCGTATTACCGTCTTCCGGTCTCTGATTGTAATATTATAAAGTTTCCGAAACAAGACAATATATGCAAGTGAAGTAACGATTCCTATTAAAACATAGGTGGCTTGGCAAACCACTAGAATGGCTCTGGCCTCGAAGTGATACCCAGTCACCAAGTCAGCTGTGATAGCAAGAACGAAATTGAAAACAATCACTGTTATGATCACCCGGCCATTTACGATCTTGGGGGATGCCAGTTTGAAGCTCAAAAGTTTTGTGAGCATAACAAATAATAATATGAATGCTGAAGTGAGACAAGGGAGTGTAACACTGATGGAAAAATACGCGAGGGCTGCTGGGAAAGAGTTATTGGAATTGTAAGCGTCAACAAAAAAGTAACAAGTTCTAAACAACCCCATTATGAACATCAGTGTGTTCATAGCGATGAAGAATGCCTTGCTTTTGAGTCTTTGCATCAATAAAAGTCTTATCACGTTCACAATTGAAATAAGTGCTATGAGAGCAAATAATGCACCCAGTGTGTATATGTGAACTTCCCAGGCTGCTCCCCATTCTATTTTAGCCTCCTTCCAGTTGGGAACAGGCTCTGCAAATGGCTCCTCGGTGGTGGTGGTACTAGTGCTTGTAACATTATGGATGTCCTGACCCAAAGTCTCAGACGTCGTTTCTTGTGGTGCGGACGCCGTGACCGCCGCCATCATAAAGACAGGCTGAAATTTAAAAAAAAGGTTTAATTTAAGAAAAATCCAATAAAAAAGTAAAATGCATTTGTACTAAGAAAACATGTATAAACCATATTCACGTGTATGTGTTTATGTCTTGCGCAAGGTATTGGACAGCCAGAAAATCAATGCAACAGTAGAGTACGCACGAGTAACATGAATTGATCAATCCGGGTTGGTTATTCAGTGAGTCACAAGGGAGTTAATAATAAAGACAGAAGGACTTTGTCAATACGAAACAGACTGACAATAAAATGTCAAAACACAACGTGTAACTTATTAGTCTTACTGCAGCACTAAACTCGCGTATGTATTGTTTTCAAGAATAATCCGTAATGATGTTTACTTTTGACATAGGGCACGAATACGATTAATAAGCAAAACTTGGTTGTTCGGGATGCCTAGGCAGGTGTTCACCCATATGCAGTTATCATTATCCATTAAGCTTATATGCATTCAAATATTCTGATCATATGGAATTAATGCGACATTGGTCGGCATATTTTTATAGCATTGTTGATGACAGATGCACTGAAACTTCTCCAAGTACGGTGTACAATGAAAATCTGACTCCCCCAAAATTTGACTCCCCAATCAGATTTTCATTATGAAAATGTGACTCCCCTGTTAAATTTTCATAATGAAATCGGACTCCCCCCCATGAAATATTAACCCATAAGATTTATAAAGTTTTGTGAGGGGGAGTCAAAATTTCATGGGGGGACTCAGATTTTCATTATGAAATGTTGACTGGGGGAGTCAGATTTTCATGGGAGTCAGATTTTCATGTTACACTGGTAGTATTTCTTCGTTTTTCTACTGTCAAAACTGTACTGTTTCATGAACCAACAAAAATTTACCACTATATTCGGGAAGTTGACAAGTCGTTTCTCAGGTACGGGTTTATTGTTGAGGGTCACACGAAGCTTTTTAACCACAGACATACCTGTGTAATAGTGCGTGCGAGTGTGATGCTCTTAATGTCCTGTTATGTGAACGCTTTGTCCATTTTTACCTACGGTCAATCAATAGGCAAAGTACTTTTACATGTAGTTAAAGCAGACACATGCTCGACTTACATGACTTTTGTAAATATCTACACGTACATTCAATCGACTTTTTCAAAGGCAACTGATGTGTTCACAATTTATTCTTAGACTGGGTTCCATACTGGCGGTTCACGCTAAATTTCTATCAGCTCAAGAGGCTTAAATGTCTGTCACGCCTACCGAATCAGCTAGAGGTAAAGATAATTACCCCTGAACAGCTCTACAAGGCGTGACAGACGTTTAAGCCAGTTAGTTTGATAGCAATTTAGTGAGACTCCCCAGGGAGATAGATCGATCCAAATATCTGTGGGAATGGTCCCTTAGTAACAAATTCTCAAAGGCCATCTTGATAAATGTTGTAAAGATAAGCGTGCACGGCACTGGGTTCATGAAAGGACCTCAGTCGAAATTATTCAGTTAACTTTAAAAGCAATAATGATATAGTCTAGGTTGGTCTAGGATAAATCTGTGGTGTTTCATTAAAATGAAGTGCCTCTCTATCTAAATCACATGCCCTGATGCTTGCTAATAGTATGGCATTTAGGTGCAAAATTCTCACTTAAAATGAGAACATCTGATTTATCACCTGTCAAAATTTACTTAAATTTTACGGAGTTAAAGTTTAGACCAACTTTCCGTTTGTGTTATTCAGTGAAACTACATGCACTAGTCATGACTAGTAGGTCTAGCAAGCGGAGAATCGAAGCCGAATCAGAGCATAATACACTTCACACTAAGTCGTCAAACTTCTTCACTCACCTGTTATGTTATGTATAACGAAGCCCAGCCAAGTGCGATGGTTTTTCTTTCTCAATGTAATAGCAGGTAGAAGATGTATGTTGTTTTGATTACTTTAAACTCGTACTACTGTAAGGTACAAGCCAACGCTTTTCGTTCTTCAGAGTATCGCTGTCTTCTCAGGTAGACCAAAACATCGACCCGGAAGTTGACCTTTTGTATACAAGGACAAGTAGTATTGATAGTATATATATAGGAACTAAGGTTTACGGTGTCTCCCGACAGGTTGCGGTGCTAAATTACCTGAAGTTATATTAGAATTTCAGTCCTCAACACACAGCAGTCATATGTTACGTCTATATTGTATAACTTGAAGCAGTTAAACTAACGCTTCACATTTCGAATGAGGCATTTTAAACCAGAGAATGTCAATCGACAATTATTTGAAAGCCACAGCAGTCTGTATTGGCTGATGTATGAATACATAATGCACAAAAGGCTCAATACGTCACGGATCTACGTCACGCGGCGTATTGAGTCAGCTCAATTGACTCTAAATTATGAAAGAGTTACGGTATTTGATCGATTAAAAAATTTTCCGGCATAATGGAGGAAAATGAAAGGGGTTGTTATGACGTGAAGGTGTGCAAACACATTTAAATCAATTGCAGTTGAATGAGTTGTTTGTTGGCATTTAGTGATGACTAACGGTTCACAAATAAACCTTGTCAACATCAATGTTTTAAAGAAAAGTATTCACCTCATATACGGAGGATGGGATTGCGCTTTATTATAACTTTTAAACTGTTTTAAAATAAAATAAAATTAAAGATCAAAACTGTATAAATTTACAATCCTGTTTTTTTTTTTTTTTAATTCAACTTTTTTTTGTTCTATAGCAAAATGAAACTAATTTGTTTAATGTTTAACTTTCTTTTATTTCCTTATTAAAGTCGTGATTATTTTTGACAGTTTTTTTTTTCTACCGTGATTAGATTTATATTTGGTGGCTTTTCTATGAATACTTAAGTTTGAAATATGATCAGAAAAATAAAAAAGTGGAAAGATTCTGATGTAGCATTAAACCGTGTTTTTAAAGACCACAGTTGAACAAAGCCCGATTTTTTTATTCATAGAACACATTTTTTAAATTCCCGCTCTTTGAATTAGATGGAGATTATTACAAATGAAATATATTTCTGATTTATTCATGCTTGGACATGATAACGAAGGGACTAGAAACGCGGATCAAGATCAAAGGAAAATTGGCTGAGCGAGAGCTCTATTCGTGAAACCGTCGGAGTTCGGATCACTTGACCTCCCGAGCATATCGCGGTTGTCGACGACTTTTTTGTGTCATTTAGAGTCATTTAGACAGGTAGATGGCGATTACGCAGTCCTTCGGGCGGATGAGACAATAAACTTATAGGGATTAAGTATAAGTACAATTTGTTCTATCAATTTTGAAGCTACTGTATGTGAGAATTTGATATGTTTGTTCATGGGGGAATTCAAAATGCCCTATGTGGTAAAGGTTATCTTGTTTGTTGCCGTAAAATGAGCATTCAAGATTGTATAATTGTATTGTAGCATACTTGTAGCATACTTGTAACATACTTTATTTATATATAAAAAGTTTTAAAAATACAAACACACGAACACACATGTATGCCTTATTACATATATATATAAATATATATGATGAAAAACTATATACCAAACATATTATCAATACATCATTTCATAGGTGTGTACTGACTGTTTGAAAAAAATCACTCGCGTGTCTTCAAAAAGTTACTTCCAGCAAGCCCATGTTCTACAAAATTTCCTGAGTACATATATTTGAGAGATTTTTTTTCCCGTCAGAACTTAATCTTTCAATAATAAACATAAAGACTTTTTTGTTGTTTCGGCTCTTTTGGATTTAAAATAAAAAGTTTAGATTTATAAATATGTATAATGAAATAAATTGGATTAAACCCGCTAGAAGTATAACCAAAAATAAAATTCTGCTTATTAAATGATAAATGTTACCGGCCTTTTCAAAAAAAAAATTTGTCGTTAAGCTCTGTAATTTTTTATTCATCTATTCCTTATAATTGATTTCTTAAGAAATTGTTTCATGTATATGTAAAGTCTTTTGAACATGTTATAATGGATTTTAGACTCAAAATAAATTTATTATTATTATTTATGATTATTATTTATTATTAAAATTAATGGTTCTAGCTCATTACATATATCTTACACTGTATAACAAAGCTATAAAAGATGCTCAATCTTTTCCCCCTCTTTTCCACGAAAAAACAGCATATATATATTTTAGGTCAGCTTTCACAGGTAAAATTCTATGCAATAATTTGTACTGATACCATAGTATCTTATTGTCCGGAGCTGTCGTAAGCTAAGGTCCAATTTACATTTTGCCTTTAGAGTATCATAAAAGTATTTTCACCCCTTTCTACTTTTCAAACGAAAGCCAATTGCAGACTATGCATAAGGCTGTGTGACTATATTATTGTAAACTACAGTAGTTACTCGATCTTGGGGGGATAGTTAATTTTATAATGTATTTTTAAGTCTCTTCCATGCAGTAAAAACAACAAAAATGCGCTCCAGAAATATAATTTTGTGATAAAATTTATGTATCTAAAACTTTGATAATTTTTATATTCCTTTTTAATCCCGTTTCCTTTTAGATGTTCAGTATCCCCTTGTATCTTTAAATAACAATCATTTGGTAGTTTGAATTTTCTCTTAAATTTATCAAGATTTGAAAGGTCGCCATTGATAATCGACAATTTTTGCGACTGACATCTACAGTGACACATTTATTCATTCCACGTTTTTTTTTTTCACATCTACTCGAATGATTATTGATCAAAGGCGGGATTGGATGTACCGTTGTCATGGAGAGTTTTTGCCTTGGAATCGGCGTCGTAGATTGTCCCCGCGCGGTCTTCTGCACGTGCAGGTCCCCAGTCAGCTTGCGGTGATCCAGCTCTCTTCAAGGCCTAAAAAATCATACGCACACATTATGTAACTATGGCATATTTACAGGTATCCATGGAAATACTATTATCAGTCTGATTCAGTTTGCACATTTGAATATTTGACCTGGTATAAATCAAAACAGCACTTGCAAATGTACTACTTTACCTAATAATTCTATTGAATAGCAGATGACTGAGATAAAGAAGGACGGTTTGCCAGCCTTACAGTGCCCTTTTTAAAAACCCATTTTATTTTCCTATGCAATGTTAATATTAGGTGTAGAAACTTAGGTGCAAAACAAGGCTATGGTGGAAACTTAAGAAACTTGTTAGATGTAAAAAATGGGGCGATATACAATCTACTTAATGCGACAACATCGTCTTAATCTAATATATACCAGCGGCTTCACTGGAAATTCAATGCATTTTCACATAAGTGCAAACAAGGAAGTGCTGCTTTAATATCAATCGCTACCAACCTTGAGGCCGCCGTCGTAGCAGTATCTTCTCAGGATCCAGGCAGGGATGAGGGCGACGGGTGTCAACTGAATCAGCCATCCCAGGACCTGAGCCCACACAGGGAATGTATAGCCATGATACACGTATGGCTTCAGCTGAATGAATTTGAATACTATGACAGCCTGCAAAATACGTACTTGAAATTATAGGTAAGACAAACTTACTTCACGAAAATAGTGAAATTCAATTTCCGATTTACCGTCTTAGCAATATTCGAAACTTGAATAATATCTTACTATGCATTTACATTTCACATTTAACGGTCGAGGTTTATCCCAATGGTCACTTACCAACATAAGAAGCGGAGATAAACAACACCAAGTGACCCGAAAGTAGATACCAGGCTTCTTGCCAAGCATTATTTTCACGTCCTCAGAAAACCTGGACCATCCTGGAGTGAAAACAAAATAAGGCGCGATGAAAAGTGATAACATGATTCAATTTAAGATTTTGCCATGAGCCTACAAATTTGCTATGTGATTTTAACGCCAATTCCTCCCGATATGTGTCACTAGACGTGTTTCTCCCGTATTAATCAGATAATTTCTGGATTCCGTAAAACAACACGGGTAATCAAGCTATCGGTGCGACTGACCAAACCCTTCTGACAATATTTTTATTTATTTTTATATCCTATATAAAAGATGGAGCGCATGAAAATATGTGATTCCTATAGTAAGAGATATCGATTACCTTTAACCTTGAAAAACAGCAGATTTTCGAGTAAAGCAAGAACAAATTACCCCTTACTTACCATAGACCCACTGTAGAACTATGCATTCAAATAAACTAACAAACAGCAACGGGAACCCTCCAACACTGTGATCCATCAGGTCTAATAGATAGTGGCCACCCTGAAATTTGTGAAATGTGAAAAGATGTCCTTTGGTATTTCTTTAAGTTATGCATTTGGTCGGGTTTTGTGGCAAAAACTTGCCTTCAAATGCATCTTTAAGAATATTTACATTGGAATGCCAATCATTGTTACCAAACAACGTGTCAATACATATAACAAAAACAGATAAAGATCAGAGATTGTTTTTTTTTTCTTAAATACGTATATGAACCGAAAGAGATCTTACAAGAAATCTTACCCTTGCACACATCGGCAGGCCGAGAAGAAAACACACTCCGCACACGACGCCCCTCATGATGGTTTCCCTCCATTTACTAACACGTAGAATATGTGGATATTCGTCCATTATACTGCTCAAAACGGTCTCAGCCATGGAAAACTGTGCACTGAATCCCAGTAACAGCATCATGGAGAAGAACAGAATGGCCCACAGAGTCGGTAACGGCATCTGGGATATGGCCTCTGGATACACGATGAAAGCAAGACCAGGACCTGAAATAACCAAAGCTCTGTGTTATCTTATGTGTTTACTCGTATGTGAGAATGCCACAAGTCACTGAAAGGGAAACTTTTATATTTTTTCTTATCTGAAAAGGGTATTTTTACATTACCACCAACGACACGGAAACATTCATCACTATCATTAGTATCTTATTTTATCATTTATGCGCGCGCGCCATATCGTTCATGCATTTTGCTCTTGTGTCATCGTTTTCAAGTACAGACCATCTTAGTGTTACGAAAACCTCCTGAACTTGATATACAAATACACATACCTTGACTAGCAACATCAGCCACATCTTTTCCAGATATATGCGCCATGTAGCCAAGCACGGAGAAGATGACCAATCCAGCATAAACGCTAGTCCCGCAGTTCATAAGGGAACAAATTAGTGCGTCCCTAAGAAAAATATAACGTGTTTGTATTGTATTTCGTCGGTTGAACAAGTATAGCATTAGGTTTCACAGACAATCTTGAAATAATACGGTACCAGCTTGGGACGACAAACGTACACCACCCCGTGAAGAGTTCACGCTACTCTTGAATGTGGCTTCAAAAAATTACAGTTTTAAATGTCATGATGTCTATATTTAATGTATACCCAATTTCTCTTTACCTTTGTTTCAAAATAAGCTTTAAAACACAAAAACAGACATTTATCAATTGAGAACATATTTTGAAAACAGATGAATACAACAAATGGTATTTATAAAGAATTTAAAAACCCTCAAAGACTGAACAAGTATTTGGCATTTTTGTGCATAACGCGTGGTATATGACTGTAGGCCAGACACGTGAGCATTCATGTACCAAAGTTCGAGCAATTAGGGTTTTTTACTTTCTTCAGAACACAAATATAATCTAAATTATCCGAACATCTCGTCTCAATGTTTACCAGTATATAATGTTGAAATAGCGCATTAATAAACTGAGATGAAATCCAACAAAACCATATTAAGCCTATTAGAGCAGACTATAAATAATCAATAGTAACAGTTTCTGTTAATCAGCCCAGTTTACCTGAAACAGTTGTTGTGGAATTTGTTGTAGCTTGACATCGCTATCAGGCCTCCAAAAGACACGCTGAGTGAATAAAAATTCTGAACGACTGCGTCACTCCACACCTGATAGATAAAAAACGGTAAAAACAGTTAACTAAGGTAATCGATTAACCGAATTAATTTTGCAGTATACTTATGTAGTCGGCATTAAGGGGGGGTTCGATACGTTGTAGAGGCCCACATTTGGCAAAATATCTTTTTTCTTGTTTCTTTCATGTTAATATAAGTGAAATAAAGATAAAAATATTTAAGTGTAAAAAACTTTTTGTTTTATTCACCAACCAATGTGCATCTGCAAACACGCGTTAATTGTCAATTTAGTTGCTTTGTCCCTATGTGTGAGATATTGATCAGATCCCAGCGAAACTCTGTAACTATAAACTAGAAGGATATTATTATAAAATATGCCATATCCTTTACAAAGATATATACAGATTTATACAAAGCAACTTCTGCTTGAAGTATCACTTTCCGAACTGGTTTGACGGAAAGAAAAAGGGAAGCTACACTTACCTTAGAGTCTAGAAGTCGAGTAAAATCAGGCGTTAGATAATATTTAATGCCTTCTGCGGATCCTTCCAGTAAAACACCACGTACAAGGAGAATGGCCAAGATGACATGAGGGAAAATGGCAGTAAAATAAACAGCCTGTAAAGTATAAATATATTAAGTGTATCTTTGTTTTTGGTAACTTAAAAAACATGAACGGTCTGACTTAAACATGTACCTACATTCATTTGTTTTGAAGGAATAACACAAAAATACTTTAATTAGCCTCAAATGCCGGGTAGGCACATACCAATTAAATTTAGACTAAGACCTAATGCGTAATTAAGTTTTAATAAAGTTGTAACTGAAATAATAAAAAAGGGCTCAGCTTGGCTCGCGTTGTTTAAAAAGTAATTGTATATATTTATTATAAACAAAAGAAAAGGACAAAATATGATCTCAAAAACGGAAGTATTTTAAAAGCAAGATTAAGTACGATGCCTGGGAAAAGACGAGGTACATGATGTACATGTATAATTTGTTTCTATTATGTTTTACTAACAAGTGCTTGGTCACAAATAAATTTTACAACCGCTTCTGCACCACGTGACACAAACTAAAAAAATAGATCAACAGAAAGTTGGAAGGACATGCGTTTATTTGCTGCCATTTTGCTCACCTTCCCCAGGGACTTTATTCCCTTAATCAAGACCAGGAACACAATCAACCAGGCCAGCAGAAGACACAGGGAAAGGTCCCATTTGAGACCCCCTGAATTCTCTATCCCATCAGTCATCTCTAGGACATTACGGCTACAAATATAAAAATGAAGTGCACGTGTTCACGACAGCGTTGTTCAGTGCAGTCAAATAATCTTTAGAGGTTTTTAATTAGTGTCTATTTATATTTTAATATAAAAATATTAAAATATTCTAAATCTTACGTTTCTTGCATATATATATATATATTCGATTAAAAACTTTTTTGCGCCAAGAACAGCAATAGGCAGACTTTTCGAAAAGCACTCATCAATCTTCATGGTATTATTATCTTACTAGAAATACTCCTCGCTTGGTGAAGTGGCGATGACCTCGGTAGTATCGGTAGTATTCAGAAGCGTTGTTCTACTGGTGAAGTTGGTGGCGTTTGTTTGCGTACCTTCGCCAACTTTGAAACAAATGATAAACAAATTTACATTTACACGGCTCTTGTACATATACTGTTAACAGCACAATCGTGCTTTAAATTAAACGGATTACCCAAATAAACATGTATTCGATCATATAAAACTAAAGCAGTGAGACTTACTATAACGTGAAAAAATTACCGACTATGGTGTTTTATATGGATGCAAAATGGTAGAAATATTGCATCCGCTATTATTATTATTATTATTATTATTATTATTATTATTATTATTATTATATCAGCCACGATACAGTATTCATTTGCTTACCTACTAAACATGCATCCGTATTCCAAGTATTCCCACAAGCAGACCACGGCAAATTAGCTGTCATTGAGGCGAAGAGGTAGTGAAAGATGTAGGCAATTATAACATTGTAGTAAAGACCGATGAACAAAGAAATCATCATCATCCCATAGCCAATACCTAAATGTAAGGCATAAAATATGGAAAATTAAGTAATTAAGTATTGTTAGTGTGAACCAAATAACATATATATATTGGTCAACTGTGAGGAGCAACCATAGCAAAAATAAGGAAAATCCGATTCCCAAAAGAGGAATGTGTTTGAGTTTTTTTAACATAATCTTTAAATTGTTCATTTAAAGTAGACAAAGAGTTCGCTTTAAAAAATAAATGAGGGAATCATGCACAGTCTTACCTTTGAACAAGGGGCTAATTTTCCAAATAGTGATAGGCCCAAGACTGGCAAACTGGCCAAAACATAATTCCATGAAGAACAATGGAAGGCCAACCAAGAACGAACTGACGCAGTATGGTATCAAAAACGCGCCTAAAAGCAAACGGTTTGTTATTAGTCAACAGTATAAACAGGTCTCTTTAATAATAGACTGGTTAACGAAATTTTAGCAAAAGTAACATCGCCTAATGCATTCCTGACTCTTACACATGTACAAATGTTTTGGGGATTGAGGTAGTAGAGATTTTTGCCCCGATGACACTTACCTCCACCGTTCCTGTAACATAGATACGGAAAGCGCCATACTGATCCCAGACCAACAGCACAGCCGACACATGTTATAATGAATTCCAACCGGCCTCCCCAGGTGCGACGCTTGTTGTCTTCCAAGGAATCTATCTTTGAGTCCAAGCGACCCATTTCTACGTAAGGGTCGGCTTTCACGGAAATAGGGTTTACCTTCAAACAATAAACGGATAAGAAGTGAAGACTTTCAAGTAAATAGATACGAGATATGTTTTTCAATAATCGTATATAAGATTGTTCCTTTATTTAAAATGTACAAAAAAGAAAAAAGGGGATTTATTCGTTTTAAAATTAAGCACTTATATTGAAAGGATGAAACTGAGAAAGTAACGGGACCAGCATAAATGTTCTAAATGAAGGATGTTCTCCGAATATTCTTTATTAAAGTAAAATGAAAAGGTAATGTCATGGACACAACAGTGTTTTGATTACGATGAAAATAATAATGACAGGCCTTTTAAACGAAATAGTCGTTCAAGATTACGAGCTTCGAATTAACAACACAACCCGCGATCTCATGGCACGAACGCAAAATATTTAGTCGCGAGCACCACGATGCCAATCGCAAACCGTTAATCCGGAATTCAGCAGAATCAAAATGTTTGTTAAGTGAACATGCGTTAAGGTGGTTTGTAAAGTTTTTAGACAATGCAAACGTTCCGTTAAATAAATAAAAAAAAACTTCAAGACGATTGCAACGTTTTCGGTTAAATCAAGTCCCACATTTGTGTAACGCCGATATTCCAATCAACACCAGGTGACAAAATGAATTTATATTTGTTACTTTTCAACATGTAATTTCAATGACGCTACTTCAATTTCATGTAAACGGCATTTTCTTCTTTATTATAAATAAGTGATGCGGAGTTGAATTTATCAAACACCTCGCTCAATGAAACATCAAATGATTTTTTCAAACGTTATGTCTTTAATTCCTCCAAAACGACATAAAATGACACAAAAATTTTAATGCATTTGCAAAGAATAATTTTACAAGTATCAGCTAGCAAAAGGATAAAACTAAAAGATAAATTTAAGTCATATCTATCTCATTTTCTGTTATGTGAAATGTATATTTTACAATAAGAAAGAAAGAATGAAAATAACTTACTATTTCTTCCTGCATTTCTTGTACTTTATCTTGTCACCTTTTTCGTGCAATGTGAGAAAACAAGGCTTTCCTGGGTATTTATACTCGTCAAATACTTCGCACTTGGTTGGTTGTATAAGACTTGTTTTTCTAGTTGTTCAGAAAAATCTTATCTAAGACCTTATACGGTCGGCCGCTTGGTTAAAAACATCCCCAAGTGTTAGGAAATAACATGGAGTGTTTGTGTTTTGAACCCGTAGTAGATCGTCACGGATAAATCACTACAACGCAGTGCATTTCATATTTCACACATCCCTCATTTCCTGTGATTTTTTCCAAGCAGAATGCATTTAAACATTAATTTAAAAAAGACTTATTAAATCACTCTTTGCATTTATAATATTTTGGTCATATAATCGGAAAACTTCAGCCGATTCCACTGCGAGTTTTGGCGTATCTTTTTCCACATTATTACCCGAAATTTTAAAATTTAATCACGCACTTCGACGTGCACACAACAGCAATAGAATGTTGTTGCATTGTGGGTTCTTAACTCAAAATAGCATCGCGAAGCATTAAGTAAGTTGTCGATAAAAGTTGCGAAAGAAGTTCTAAAAAGTTGAAAGGAAAAAGGTATATGTGTAAGATATAAGAACATTGGCTAGCGCATAATAGTGTTAAAAGAACTTTGACAGGGTTCGTTAGGGATTTTTTACTTGTCCGTTAGGGATCTTTTACTTTTTTACTTACATAATGCGGATATTATCAATTTTCGTGATATGTGCAACAAAAATATGTCTGGGCGAATGTGCTTATTCGAGCTGTTCACATAACAGCAGCGTTTTTTGGGTAAAAACTGTAATATCCCTTTCAAACAAACCTCTCTCACCTAAACAGGTAACAAGACCTTTGATCGCGTTATCACAGCAAAATTGACTATTAAGGTTCCTCGATAAACGCTTGACCACCTATACGTTCGCATGTAGAAGCACGTGTGGATAATAGAACAACAAAAGTGAGTTTGTGATCTAAAGGTGTTTATTTTGATAGCGCTAATATCAAAATGATTATTTCAAATAAAATAAATGTTGCGTGAACATAGTTCGTCTCTACCTACTCCTATTGGCTCATCCTTTTTTCCTTCTATCTCTCTATTTCTACCTGTCTCTGTTGCAAACAACCACATTTGTAATTTAGGATATTAATGTTATATCTAGGGAGTCTTACGAACGCCAAAATGCTAAACCTTAGTTGTCCTCCGATATCTGACTTAAAAATGTATGCTGGTGAGCAAAGGTGGAAGACATGCTGTGCTTGTTATACATCAAATCGTCTTTAAGTGCTAGTTCGCTTTTGTATGTGTGTGATTCATTATTCATATTTATTGTATTATAATTGGGTTGGAATCAAACAGTTGTTACTAGATTACCTTTAAAAGGCACTCATGTTACCACTGATTTTTAAACATTCACCGTCTCGCTGTCAACGAGCCAGTGCAGATCAGTGCAGACAGGTCGACTTTTCTCCTACTCGGGGAAATAACTTACATGCAAAACGGTGTTGGCATGACGAAAAACAAGTTAAAGCTAAAGCACATGTTGAGCACGTATTATATACAAAGTGCTTAATCGGTTGATCATCTCCGGCCTCAAACACGTTGAAGTCAACATGTATAATCTCGGACGAATAAAAACCTCTATTCGTCGAGGTTATTATGATAATACTCTTGCCTTGCAGAAGGATGGTACAATGAGGTTTAGGCGCTGACATCAGCCTTGTCGAGGCACAAGTAGCCAACCGAATAAAATTTTCGCATTAGTAGTTACAAGACGAGTGAGTAGATTGAAAGGAAATTTTTATAAAGGAAAGAGCATTCAATCAAAACAACTACAACTCACAAAATAAGGTGTTTACGATTAGTCGTCCAGGGCCGTCAACCGGGAAATACCGAACATGCAAAACGGCGTTGATAATTAATTATTATTATTATTACACATGTAAGAAGAAGAAGAAGAAATACTGATAAAATATTTATTTATTTATTTAAAGTCTACAATCCATAAAAAGTACATGTATGGTTTGTAGACCTTACAAATAAAATCTTAATTTAAGAAGATGTCCAAGTAAAATATTTTGTAAAGAATATTTTGTTCAATCATAATTTTAAACAAAAGATAAGTTTTCCGTTCTTATAAAAAATTATCTGTTGATCTTATATTTCTCAGCTCTGATGGTAACTGATTCCATTCGTGCGGGAACATTTTTTGTCTCCAAATGTTTTAAGTCTTGCACACTGAGGTTTTGATAATGATTGGTTCTTATATCTTAACGTGCGATTCGTTGTGTACAGGGTGCAAGTCCATAAAAAGCAGCAAGGGTGTATATCAAAAGTTTCAATAAAATCCGTGCATTGACATAAGACGCAAAAACAACCTAGAGCTACATATAATGGATACGCACGTGTTAATGATGGTCTCATCTACAAACTGTTTACTAGGTCGTTCACCTCTTACCCCAAACACCATATTTATGTCGTGCCACAAAAAGAAGTAAGTTGGTACAATAAGCTTTAGGCGCCGATATCCGGCTTGTTATAGCACAAGTAGCCAACCGCCTAAAATTTACGCAACAGCTACAAGACGAGCGCGCAGGCTGAAAGGGACGTTTTATAAATAATATAATACATCCAAAACAAGTCGAACTTTTATTGGATAATGTTTGTACAAAACAAGAACCAACAAAACAACTTGTTGTAAACATCTTGTAAATGGTTCCTAGTACAAGTACGGATCAGGCAACATTTTATCATTTTAAACTCGGGAATGCAGCTTTGATTACGCTCTGTTCTGCTGTTTTACATCGACGTCTCCTGCATTTCTTTGTGAACCGAAACATTTAGTGCAACACTACCGACTGGCGCGGGCGCACTTGGAAAAAGCCAAAACGTTATCTTATAAGTTAGTGAAAATGACGTAACGGCGTTATGATTTTTGCTCACAAACACATAAACATGCAGTAACAAGATAGTACATGCAGTATTCATGCGCTCATGGCTTTGCAAAAGACTACTTTTTATAAAAACATGGAATGTTAACTGATTTTTTTTTCAATAATAATGCTGTAAATCAACAGAAGAGAACAAGCTATTTTTCGCCTTTGATCAGTTTGCACTTTTTAAACTGAACGGTAAACAACCTGTATACCTCAATCTTTAATTTTTCGACTTTTTTATTCATTATAAGACGAAATGGACCAAATATATGTTAATTATTTTCTACAAGAAAAAAATTGATAGTGCTGTTGGGTCAAGGGAGTACTGGGAAGTCTTGTACTCAACCTGGCGAGAAGATTAACAGAATTCGTTTGAAAAGCGAAAATTGAGAACATACTTTAAAAAAATTATATGTGAACGCAGTATTTGGCCATGATATGCATAATGCACTTTCCCTTCAGTTCTGCTCTTCGTCAAAATTGACACCTATTCCCAACTGAAGTTTTCAAAGAAAGAATATGTTTTTGAGGTTTAAAAACAGTAACTTGAAATGTTATATATCTTATAGGCTTTTTGATACGCGGATTGCAGTATTGTAGTGTGAACACGGAAAAAAGGTCAAAATGTGAAAAAAGTGTTTTCACCCCTGCACATATACTGTATGCTTATTTGAGGATACGCAAGGCCATGAGGGAAGACATTATTCCCTTACACCCCGCCCTTGGATCATCCATTGCATTACACCGTAATAAGCTAGCGATTGTAAAGTTTAATCGGACCTGCGGCTTTGAATGAGGTGCCGCCTTGCTTGATGACATGAAAATAACTTGTTTTGGGAGGTCTGGTGCACAACATCAAACACATTCAAAAGACGTGGCACCCAAGTACGTTCGTCACAACTTTATTTTCATCAGAACCGGTGAAATTTTCTAATATCGATTCTTTTCGGAGTAAAGGAAAAAATGGATAGTATGTTCAACTAGTATCAAAATTCAAATCTAGGGATATTGTTTTTTTTCTTTACATGTTTTA